CCGCCACGTCCACCACGGAAGCCGCCGCGATCGCCGCCACGTCCACCACGGAAGCCGCCGCGGTCACCACCACGTCCACCACGGAAGCCGCCGCGGTCACCGCCACGTCCACCACGGAAACCGCCGCGATCACCGCCACGTCCACCACGGAAACCGCCGCGATCACCGCCACGTCCACCACGGAAACCGCCGCGGTTGCCACCGCGGAACCCACCCTGCTCAGTGCGCTGCACCTTGGTGGGCTGTTCGTCGTCGCTCTCGTCATCCTCTTCATCATCATCATCATCATCCTCGGGCATGCCTTCCTCGTCCTCATCACCCTCGTCATCCTCCTCATCGTCGTCATCTTCCTCATCATCATCATCATCCTCGGGCATGCCTTCCTCGTCCTCATCACCCTCGTCATCCTCCTCGTCATCATCCTCCTCGTCATCATCATCCTCAGCGGCACGGGTGGCAGCAATGGCGCCGTTCATTTTTGTTGGGGGAACGTCCTCATCATCTTCCTCATCATCATCATCGTCCTCCTCATCGTCGGCGAAGTCATGGCTACCCATGCTCCCCATGTCGTCACTGGCAGGCTGAATGTAGCCGGTCACGTGCACAGAGCCCGCACCGGTTGCAGTGAGCGTGATGGCCTGGCCCTCTGTGAGCACGAGGTCGGTGCTCATCTGCAAGGTGTTCTTCTTGGGGTCAAGGGTCGCAACAGTGAACTGCTTCCCCTCGAAGCAGATGACAAGTGAGATCGCAGCACTTGCGTTCGCGGGAAGCGCGATCTGCGTCAGGCGCAGAGCATGCTCCTCAGGGATCTTGGGCTTCACTTGCTGCCCGGCACGGACCTCAACACCGTAGAAACCTTCCATTGTCGTCAGGGTAACTTGAGGGAATGAAATATTAAGCGCGTAGAACTTGGTTTGATGTGTGAGTTTGAGAGAAAGAAGCCAAAAAGGTTTGTTGGGAAAAGAAAGATGAGGAGGTCGACAAAACGAGAGTTTGGCATCACATATTCATTGTGGCACTTCAAAAATCATGATTTATATGGTGAATCTTGCTGGTGCTCACTTTTTACAAAGACTGCATACAGGTTTCCATGTTCTCCACGTCACCACAGTAAGCCAGCTCTGGTGGTGTGCTGCAACCGCTTGTAGCACGCCGTCGTTCACCACTAGCCATGAGAGACCAGCAATACCGTCCTCAAGTGCGGCTGGGTATGTGTTGGGTTCAACGGTCACCCTTGGGGTATCATCTTCCTTGTCACTATCCTTCTCCTTCAGAATTTCCTTTGACTGTGAGCTCTTCATGGTGTTTACTGCACTCGTGGCACCCTCACTGCCTGGTGATGGAATGCTCAAGGTGATTGTACTGTGTTTTGTGTAATTTGTGAGTTTTCGGTCGAGCAGCACCAACTCCTGATTAAGGGTAGACATACACAACCAATGACGGATGAATCTTGGTTGATATTTTGAGTGCGACACCTTCTGACGTACTGCGCCTCCTTCACAGAAGTGATTAGGTGTCGCACCCAGCAATGGCCGTGTGGTGTTATCGTAGGCCACCTCAGGGCAAACAGCGTCAAAGGCACCGTAGTGTTGACGTCCTTCGTCACTTTGAGATGTTTTGTTGGTCTTTTCTCTTGCTTCTAGTCGAAGAGCGTCGTCTGTCACAACCTGCATGAGCTTTCCCTCCAACGTAGCGATTAGTGGGCCAAATGAAGGGGATGAGTACGGTGTGGAGCAAAGAAACCCGGCGAGAGTCCTCGTCGGCGGCGGCATCTCGGCTCCACAACAGTCACCTCCTGCAGATGCACACTTCAAGGCGACTGTGCGGTTTTCATAGGGCGAGGCGCAAAGAATGGCGCCGTCTAGGCACTGTGAGACACGGGCAGACTTACTTCCCCACACACCGAGTATGCCGCTCTTGTCGTCGTTGTGAGTCAATGGAGGAAAGACAGTGCAAATACGCGTCACGGGGAACATCGATGTGGCGATACTTGTGAGGGGAAGCCGGTGCGCAATGCTCACACAGACGCCATCCTCCCTAAGAAGAAGAACAAGGATGCCATGGCACACAGTTCCAACGGCCACAAATGGGCGTTCGTACACTTCGCTAACATCAAGGGGGACAACGCATGGAGGGAGACGGAAGGAGCCGATGCACTCAATGGTTGTCGTTGACAGTTGCGATGTAATGCGTGTGCTACGTTCCCCATGCTGCAGGCCTAGCGTCAGGAGTCGCTCCTCACATGGTAGCGACACGAGGAGACACTCGCAAAACTGATATAGCCACAGTGTGCGGTATGGTAGAGTTTGAAAAAAGAAACTCCCCAAACCCTGCAGCGATGTTCCTGATGACTTTTTCACGGACCCCTCCTCACTCTCTGTGTTTTCATCACTCTGTGCATTGGGGGAGGAGAATGCTTTTTCCACGAGTTTCGCAGCTTTTTCAACTTGCTGCAGTGGCCCTACCAGGAGCTCGGCGAATGGGGGCGGGGCCGGTTTTTGATATGGCCTCGATGGCACGCGCCAGAAAATCCCCGATTCCCGTACCACGGCACTCTCGCGGGTCTCTGGCAGCAGTGGAAGCAGAAAGCGACAACCGCAGCTCATGACAAGAGCTACGCGGCGGCTGCCCCCTTCAAGGTGTGGGTCGCCTCGAAGCTCGATGATGGATGTGGAGCCAATAACCCGCCGAGCTCCGTTTGGCACCACGTCAGTAGGATTTAGAGGAGCTTCGGGCCAGCACCATGACATTTTGAATTGGTGCGTCACCGACGGTTGCATGGCGTCCCTTACTGATTTATCGAACAGAAATTCTGTACGTTCGTCTTGGCGCCTGTTGAGAAGTGTTTGTCTCAATTCCTTCTTCTTCCCCGTAGTCTCCTCGCGAGAGGGAGTANGTCTTGGCGCCTGTTGAGAAGTGTTTGTCTCAATTCCTTCTTCTTCCCCGTAGTCTCCTCGCGAGAGGGAGTACATGATGACAAGAAACGAGAAGACATAGGCACCTCATCGTCATCTTCAGAACCTCGCTGCCTCTTTCGGTGACTTCCTGCCGCCTTCATCGAAGGAGAACGGTACCTCACGCCCTCTAAGAAGCGAATGTCAGATCAAGTCAGAAAAAGAACAAGAAAATATACCATGGAAATAGATTTAGAGATCAGTTAAGTCATCAGGGGCAGGAATGGGACAGAGAGCTCATATACCTCAATACAAAACAAATAAGGAAGAGAAAAACAGGAAGTGTATTAAACAAAGAGGGCATTATACCCGGCATCTCTGTTTTTTTTTTCTTCCCCCGTTTCTTCATGATTCCTTGTCAATCATCCTCTTGCGGTTGGAATAACGTTTGGCACAGGCACTGGAACAGGCACCACACCCCATGACAAACTCCGTGTTCTATTATCTCCTGATGTGTGGCTGGACAAAGGAAGCGGCATCTGCGCAGGTGTTGCCGAGATCACCTGGGCGGAGGCAGAAACTGAGGCAGCACGAGAAGAAACACTAGGAGGTGCATACATAGAAACTGTCGGTGTACTGACCGGAACGTATGCCTGCGATTGGCCGCTACCGCTCGACGACACAATTGGCACTGGCACCGGAATCTGAACGGAGACTGAACTTCTCACACCTGACGTGGGTGTCAGAGTAGCGGCAGCGGCTAAAGGCGCAGTAGGCACTGGAGGTGCTGCAACGGCAACAGACTGCCGCGCGCTTGATGTTTGAGCCGGCGACGGAACCGGAACTGGTATTGATGTGTTGATGCTTGGCCTGGATGACGCCGCAGTAACAGGAACAGGAACCGGTATAGATACGCCTAGCGGAATACTAGATGACGCTGCGGGGGGCGGAGCAACTACGGTCGGTGTCGAGGATGAGGACACCCGGGGCACAGTGACAGAAACCACAGCCGGCTGAGACACCGGAATCGTTTTTGGCAGCTGAGCCGCGCTGCCAACCGTCGGTGATTGTACAGCAGGGGCATGCGGTGTGACAAAAGAAACGGACTGACGGGGGCTTGGCGATTTAGTTGGCACTGGAACTGGTAGGCCAGGTGGAAAGAAGGTACTTGAGGCCGCCCCCGAAGGGAGTTGTGTGTAAGGAAGAGGTGTTGGAGTAGACGCAGAGTTGGATGGCGATGCTGATATGTGAGCCCGTGGTGAAGCAGCGCTAGCGGAACGAGCAGGAGGAGAAAGCGCAACTCCAATTCCCAGCGCAGAACTGTTTGGCAATGAGAATCCCGAGAGATCTCTAGAGGGACTGGGTGCCTCTCCAACCACTGGCAGCTTTAGACTCCTGTTATTGTTGTTGCTGTCGGTAGAGATTCCTGGTGCTGTCACAGTAGGTGCCAATTGCGGGCCTGTGGTTGCATTCCCAGTCGGCAACGAGGCAAGAGCGGCGTTATCTAGCGGTAGCACCGATGAAAAGGGTCGTGGCGTCGCCTCTATGGATGCTTTTATGGGGGTCCGCAGTTGTTCACGCAATGTAGACATTTCCGCACTCAATCGCTCCACCGTCGACTTCTCATCAAGCAGCTGTTGCTCCCTTGCGGTAGCGGCTGCACGCTCCTCTTGAAGCCGCTGCTCCAGTGCTGTCCGTTCACGCGTCAGTGCATCCACTGTACCACGTAGCTGCTGCACCTCATTCTCCTTCTCGTGAAGCACTGCCTGTATCTTTGGCACCTCTATCACGCTCTGGTTCTGCAGCTGCGTGCAGTGATTTTTCCACGACTCCGTGGACTGCTTCGCCTCCTCTGCCTCCCGCCGCAGTTGTCGCTCCATCATCTCCGCCTCATCGCTGCGGCGCTGCGCCCGGGCCTCTGCCTCCTCGCGCGCCCGCTGAGCGGCGGCCAACTCATCTTGCAGAGTGGAAAGACGCCGCCGAGCCTCGTCTCGATCACGGCGGAGCTCTTGAATCTCGCCACCCTTTGCCTCCAGAGCCGCTTCATGCTCGCGGCGCCGCTGCTCCCATTCTTCCTCCTTTGCGCGGTGGCGCCTCGTCACGTCGGCGATAGCACCATCTGCGCGTTTGAGCTCCTCTACCGTCTCCCGCAGTTCCGTAATCGTGCGATCCTTCCCTTCTTGCAGCTGTTGCAGCCTCCCCACTTCGCGTCGCAACTCCTCTGCCTTGTTCGCATCCTGTTGCGCCCGCCGCTGTGCATCCTCGTGCTGTTGCTCCATATCCTTCAAGCGGCGCGATAGCTGCGCCTTTTCTGTCTCTAGTGTGCGCTTCGTCTCCTCGTGCCGTTCGTTTATCTGACGAAATGTCGTTTCAAACTCCTTTGTCACGTCACGCGACGCCGCGCTCTCGCTGCTACGCGAATTCCTTCGAAGCTGCTGCAGCTCCTCAGCGTGAGCAGCCCGCGTGCTGGCCAGCTCCTCCGTCAGCTCCTGTTTGGCGTCTCGCAGCGAGCGCATCTCCGTCTCGTGCAGCGTCGTCAAGGCATCGAGCTCCATCTGCAGTGTCTGTCGCGCCTTCCGCTCCTCGTCAGCGCCGCGCTCAGAGTCAGTGGCTCGCCGCTCCGCACGCTGCCGCGCATCAGCGGCGTCACTCAACTGTTTTCGAGCCGCCCGAAGCTCTTCACGCACGCGTGACCCTTCTGCCGAGCTTGTTGCTGTTAGCGCAGCAACCTTTGCCTTGAATTGCTGCGCCTCCACCTCGCTCTCACGCAGCCGACGTTGCTGCTCGTCGAGCGACGCCTCCAGACGCCGCACTTGTGTGCGGTGTGTCTCCTCCGTCTCGGCGAGGCACCGCTCATGTGCGCCTTGCACACGCTGCTGCTCCTCCTCGAACCGCTGCTTCATATACTGCTTGTCCTCCTCAAAGGTGCGCTGCAGCCGCTCAACCGTCTTTTGGTGCATCTCCGTCAGCGACGCCCCGGCGGCACGAATCTCTGCGTCACCGCCGCGCTGCCGTCGCAACTCCTCGAAACTCGAGAGGAGCTTGTTGAGCTGCGCCCGTGTCTCGGCGAGCTGCCCCTCCCCACGGACGACGAGCTCCCGCTCGCGCCCCATGTCCTGGCGGAGAGCGTCCACCACCTCGTTATGTTCTTGCTTCAGCCGCTGCAGCCGGCTGCTCCACTCCGCATCACGATCCCGCATCTCACCGCGGAGGCGATCCATCATCGTCTCGGCGGCTTCATGCACCGACTTCTCCACGGACTTGCTGTAGTCCTCTGCGGTCTTCTGTGATTGCAGCCGCAACTGCGCCTCCTCCCTCATGCGCAGCATCTCCCGTTCATGCTGCCGCTCGCGCTGCCGCTCTTCCTCTTCGATGCAGCGGCGACGCTCCTGCTCCGCCTCCTTGGCGCGCTCGTGCTTCCACTCCTCCAGCTCTTTTTCTTGCGCGAAGAGGCGTTGCTGTTGCTCCTCCGCGCGCCTCGCACGCTCCATCTCTATTTTCTTGGCCGCCTCAAGCATGCGCTGCCGCTCCTCGGTGTGCATCGCCTCCCGCTCGCACTGATGCTTCCAGCGGATGCGCTCCTCTTCCGCATGGCGTAGGCGGTTAAACTCACCGCGGAGGTCAATCTCGCGACGCAGCAGCGCCGCCTCCATCTGTCGCGTGTAGAGCGTACCACCACTGAGGCCGACGAGAGGGCGGCCTGTCAACGAAAAACGAGCGCCAGCGTCTCTATTGTGATACGGGGTCCATCCAAAGTCGCATGCTGCCACCACGGGCCCTACCGTTGTTGCCGTCACCGCCGTCGAATTTCCCGCCCTCGACAAGACAGACGGTGTGGCTGTTTCACTGCGAAGGACAGGCGGCATCGCGGCACTGTACGTCGCAGCATGTTCTCGCACAGCTGTTGTGATTGCGGCGTCCGTCATCTTACCTTCTAGTTTCTATAGACCACCCCGTTTCAATAGACACTCCGTTAGTGCTGGTTTTGTTGTTGCTGCTGTTGTTTTGTTTTGGGGGGTGGGAGGGAGGGGGGTACTGCCTTCGTTGGTAACGGAGCCGTACACAGCGCCGTCCAGCTGTGTGTGGTGTTCGCGCCACAACAAACAAGAAGACACAACACATAGAGAAAGAAGGGAAGGAAAGACATTCAAATTTTTAATCAAAAACAAAGAGCACACAGCAACAATAAAATAAAAAAAGAAAGATCCTACCGTTAGCAGACGAAGCTGAGTGTAAATGAAATTACAGCAGAAGCACTAGCCGCACCATTGTCAGACCAACACGATTGACAGCCACACAGTGAGAACAACAATTGTGGTAAAATAATGTCGATTAAACACCACTAAGAAGGACGTCAAACGCAACTTCAGAGAGTGAGCGTGATCTCCTTTGTAGCGCCCAACTCAAGGCAATAATACATCGAATAGCAACTAATAGGGTTGAAGCAGTACGCCAAAATGAAACACTGCTCTCATTCTGAGGGCAATCACGCACCACCATAAATTAATGCACATAAATTTTTATTATAATACTCATTCCAATAGTAACTAAACAAAAAGAAAAACAAAACAAACCTAAATGAGTCTGTGTCGTTTTGGAGGCTTATATATCAGTCTTCGTACTATACATCCCGGCTCCCATAATGTTCTCCCCATCAGCACTCTTCAGGTCGTGCGCTACGGTGGCGGCGGTGCTGCTGAGACGCTGGAGTGCGTCAGGCACGTCAACCTCCAGGCGGTACGCCTCTTTGCGCGCCCTACACAGCGCCGACTCGAGGTCGCGAGTGTCATCATTCAGCACCTTGTCGAGGCGTGCATGTCCCTTGAGGAAGATAAGACAAATGTTGTTCAGAAGAGTAGCGTACCGCACACTGTGTAGCACCACCCATGGGCGAAACGACATGACGGAGAGCACCTCTTGCCACACTCTGAGGATAAACCAGAGAGGGTTGGTCGGCGCCTCGTCGTCGTCCAGATCCCAACACCACTGTCGTTGTGGTAGATCGTCCGCACATCCTGTTAGCCCTCTTAACGGGGCAGCAGCTTTAGAGTTTCCTTCCTCCATTCCGACACTAGTTGATTTGCGCATCCATTTCTCCGGCAATGGAGTCACATCCTCAATTTCAACCGGCGCCCAGAAAAGACCTTCATGCAGCCGCATCTGCTGCAGCAGGCGCGCATTCAGTGGGTGAACAACCTCCGTAGGCCGAAGAAGTCGGTCGTGATTCTCGCGCTCCGCCTTGGCGAGATAAGCAGTTGTACGTGGAGCACACATTGCCTGCTGTCTCTCTTCATCCTCCTCCAAGTGCTTTACAATCAGTAGAATCTGGTCCTCACACAGTGCGCTACGCAGCCCTGTAACAAACGATTCTAATCGACGTGGCGGCGGCAGATGGGCGAGGCCGAGGCGAGAGAATTCGCGCAGCGTTGAGCGCAGCATCTTCCGCTCCGCCAACTCATACCCATTGAGATAGTCTATAGAACGCACCACGCCCATCATTTTTTTCTTTGCCTCCTTCCGTTGCTGCTCGCACAACGTCACAATGTCAAGCATTGCGACAGCCAGCTCTGCCATAAAGTAATTGATCACCTCCGTATTGAAACGGGCGAGCTGCAGCGTCAATTCCTTCTCCATCGTCGCCTTGAGCTCCAAGGCATGCTGCGCAACGAAGGGTATGTGGTGTCTGGTGGCCTCCTCAAGACTGAACGTCGACGGCACCGAGGCAGAAGACGACGGGGTCAGCACTTCGCTCCTTGTACTCACCCCTAGGCGTGTGGAGGAGCCGTCAGCCTTCCGCTTCTCCTCCGCGATGATGCGCCGCAGTTGAGACATTTGCCTCTGATAGTTCTGCACAACGTAGAACTCCATGAAAATACGGTATTGCTGCCCTAGGCGCTCTCTCGCCTGCACGGATTGTGACGACGACAATAATGGTGCCACGTGGCATGTCGAGAATGGTGGAAACCGTTTTACATTCTGCTGGCCTTTGTAAATGCATTTATTTTCTTCATTCAGCAAGTCAATCAAACTCCACCAAAACATAACAGTGAGCCCCTCGAACCTTTCTTGCAGTTGAAATTGGATACTTTGTGACATGACGCGCGGAATTGCTTCTTCTTTCAGTTGCTTCAGCGCCGACATCATCGCGTTCCTTTGTTCCCTCTTAACCCTCAGTTCACCGCGAAGTCTTTTTTTTTGCCCACGCAGGATTTTGCGCATCTGTGGAAGCATCATCCGCATTTGCCGGCACCACATCGCAATACAGAGGGCAGCGAAGGACAAATAGTGTTGCACCGCACTCCCCTCAAAGCATTTCACGGTGTGGAGAAGCTGACATGCGCCCGACTCTTCCCATGTGGTATTCAAGGCATAGTGCCACACAATGTCCTCCAACTGCTCCGCTGAAATAGTGTGTTTCTGCGTGTTAAAATGTTGACCATACACCACACTGCAATAGGTGTTGATTGCCGTGTGAATGCAAGACCCACTGCTGCATGTCGTCGACTGTGGCAGTAGAAGCGATGTACACGAGGTATTGAGCGGAAAGAGCTGCGTATCCGCAGAAGACATAGACAGCACAATGTCCTCCGTGTCCACTAAGCCCTGTCGCGCCAGTCGGGCCTCAAAAATAGCAGTGAGTGCGTCTCGCGTGGCATGACTCATCGTGCCACTGTATGGGATGATTTGCCACGGAGCAACATGGACACCGTAGCGCTGATACATCTCCTTCTGAAACAACGCAACAAGTTCAGTGAGACTAGACACCATCGGTGGCGGGCGTCCCATGAGTTGTTCGTCCAGCGATAGCGCTCCCTCGGCACGCGTCAGCACCGCGTCTGAGAATGTTAATATATAAAATGTTACATCAGAAATCAACTGTCGAATTCTTTGAGCATCGTCATCAACAAAAGTCTCAGCGCCAGCATGCACCTTATCACCACCACTGGTGTTGCCGTAGAGGGAATCACCGGGGACTCGGACGGCAAAGGGTCCAAAGAGATCGGTCAAGGCAGTCATCAAGTGATGTGTGCCCACCATATCACATGGTAAAGTAAACATAATAGTCTCACCGCACAGCGTTTCAAGTCGTTGGTACGACGGTATTCCCTCCCGCTGACACCGCAAGACGCCGCCAGGCACCTCTTGCAGAATCCAGGGTGTCGCCTGGTAGTTGCCATCCGTTTCCGTGGTTCTTCCTGGAGCTATTAATGGTGTGTGGAGCAAGGATGGTTTTCCTGATCCGTCCCCAACCGCCAGCGTGATTTCCTGCGGAGGCGCGGAATTCCGCACGGTGCAGTGCTGCAACTTATCATTATTTTGTCGCGGAAACATGACACCACCAAATTTCCTCCTTATTTGATCCATGATATTAGTATCGAAGCTACCAGGGAGCACCGTCACGGCGCGGTGCTGAGTCGATGCCAGACTAGGGGTGATGGTGTCGCTTTCCGTGGAGCGCACCGGTTTCACGTCCAGGAACGGTGTTATCGTCACGAACTTGAACGATGCAACTTTCCTCACTTCTTCTTCGCCATCACAGACCAAGCGGCGGCGACTGCGCTCACGCAAGAGCGGCAGCTGCGTGCCGCCAGAGACTGTTCCGTAATCAGTGTCGGCGTTGGTATCCGACTTGGGGCCACGGTCATGGCGACCAGCACCGCCGCCTGCGACGGGCATTGCAGGGGAGAGAATGCCGCCCTCCACATGTTCCTCTGTGGCGGCACACCCGTTTAAACGTCTGCGTGAAGAAAGACTTGTTTTGCGTGNGAGAGAATGCCGCCCTCCACATGTTCCTCTGTGGCGGCACACCCGTTTAAACGTCTGCGTGAAGAAAGACTTGTTTTGCGTGGCGTCACCACACTGTCGTTGATGCGGCTGGTACCACTGCTCCCACCGCCTACTCGTGTAGGGGGCCATTCCTGGTACCCCAACGAAAACCTTCGCACGTTCGACGAGGTGGTGATCGTGGTGGTGGTGTTATTGGAGCTGTTATCAACGTCATCTTTCACTGTCACAAGAGGATCCATCGACGCGGCGGGCGATGCGCAGCGCTGCAACAAAAAGGAGATTAGTGTGCTTTTGCCACTCTGAGGAATGCCAGCAACTATAAGACGTGGGACACCCGAAGAAGGGTACTGGTGCATCACACCACCACTTCCGGTCATGTGCAAACTCTCAATCAATCCATTAAGTGCGTTGCGTAGACGTAATACTTGCTCCGTGGAATCTGTGAGGAGGCCAACAAACTCTCTAGAAGCGTTGACCAGGTGCTCCACACTGCGCAGCACGAGAGGTGGTAACGAAGAGGAAACAGGCACNCCAACAAACTCTCTAGAAGCGTTGACCAGGTGCTCCACACTGCGCAGCACGAGAGGTGGTAACGAAGAGGAAACAGGCACTCGCTCTTTTGCTGTCCGTGCGAGCCGTGGCGGAGGCAGCTGCTGCTGCATCGATTGCGGCGCGGCAGAGTCCCCCTCCATTACCGCTGGGGTACGGGAAGGGCAGAGACTGCAGAGCTATATAAAAAAAAAAAACCTTACACTATGCGCTCAAACCAACAATGCATTCCAGGAAAAAAATAATCAAACCACAAGGAAGAAAGGCAGGCAGCGTTTCGAACGCAGTCAAACGACCACTCTGTCACAACGAGGAGGGAAAAATCAGAAGATGTGACAAAAAAAAATGTATTAAGTGAATTGGCCAAATTGGAGACTACTTCATTTTAAACATGTTAAACTCCGGGCTATCCTTACCTTACTGTGGTTTTCCCTTGCCTTGATTACTTCTTTTTTGGTTTCTTATGCTGTCTTTGTTGCGGTAAGATGTGGTGGTTGCAGCTGTAATAAAAAATTGACTTCCTATCCTTCTTGCCCTTTTCCACCATATTTCCCATGCGCCCCACTCATTCGCTTTGCATCTCTCCTCATTGTTGTCCTTGCTTTCGGCTGCTAGCGTTCGTACCTGTCTGGCTTTCCTCTCACTCGGATTGAAAAAAAGGCTTACAAGCGCACCGCCACCATGCGAAGCCGCAAGCGCATATATATATATATATATATATATATCATGTCTTTCCCACCGCTCCCGCAATCCTGTGTGGCTCGGTGAACAGCTGCCCTTACACAAGGCACAGTGCAGAATGCAGGTCGGGGATCATGACCAAACACAAAAGTACGATACGTGTGTATGGGATAAACCCCGCACAAGCACACATGCTCACACCTCCCGAGAGCGCTGGAATGAAAAAAAGAGGCAACAATAAAATCATAGGAAAACCCCCATGCATTGTCGTAGTTTAAGAAGCAACCTCAGGAGGAAAGTACCACTGCTGGTATCGATGTAGCTGTAGCTGTTTTATTCTTGATAGCACCTTTTTGCGTTACTTTTCTTCGCTGAGCAACCCCCGTTTCTGGTATCCATAAAGGCATGTCATCCTCACTCAGACGAGGTACATGGGCGCGGTGAACAGGGGCGACATCACCTCAATCTGTGCGGCGGTAAAGTGTTGCTTGTGCTCCAACTCCCATCCCTCGCGATGCGAGAGCCACCACTCCTCAAAAGCCCGCTTCACCCCCCGCCGCACCTCCAGCGCGGGGTCGTGCGCACACGCGGCAAGGCGTTCCATCAGGCGCGGCACGTACTTTGGCACAGCACCAGGACTAGCACACAGAATAGAGCACAGCCCCAACAGCAAAGCGATGCGTCGCCGCCGACGGACGTTTTCCTCCAATGTGTAATAAAGTGAAGCACCCATGTTACTATTACTGCCTGATGTCGCCGCAAATGGCACACCTGCAGCGGTAAGGTCCCGCAGTTCCAGAAAGCAGCCTTGTACAAGCGCCTCGGCTTGGTCCACGGAGGCCACCCTGGTGAGAACAGCAAGCAGAACTCTTCCCTCACTCCGCACCCGTCCGTCACCGTGACCAATGGACTGCATAGCAGCACGTGTAACCGCCTGCATCACCGAGAACTTTCCAATACGATGCAGGTTATTGAACAGAACAAGGCATAGCATGTGGCTCAGAATGACCTTTGCCTGCCGCGACTTGCCATACGGCTTTTTCTCCTCCAGTATTTCACATAGCAGCTCCACAACGCCGTGGATAGTGTTCTTTGGCAACCGAACGTCAGCGATGCTGCAGAGTGTGTATTGCACCACGTACCCGAGGTCGTCCACCTCTGTCACAGGGATATCAAGTGCCCGCGCAAGGATTGTAATTATATTTTTGACCCTCATGTTGAGAAGTGGTGCCGGTGGATTGGGCCAACACAACGCAAACGTCTTCACTGTCAACAGCATTGTGCAGGGAGACGCGCCGCGGCCGCCATCAAGGCTGAAGGCGTCTGACCACAGCGGTGACGACGCCGACATCAGCGAAAGCGACGCATCAGCAGCCGCGGAAGCTGTCATAGCGACCGCGCCACTCATGAAGGGGTGTGCCTTTGCAGTCAACGCGGGAGTCTCACTCCACGGAGCCAGCGTCGGCAGCGGCTCCAGTGGGGGCAACGGCGGAAGCTCTACCAGCCGCTCCAAGCGGTCAATAAAATTGACGACGCTGTCCTGTACATCCACGTTGGATGGAATGTGCACACTCTGGTGGAGACACATTCGCATGATTTGATGAATCACACCCGCTGCACACCGACGAATGCGAGTGGGAGTGCAGTAAAGAAACACATCTTTATTTGCCATTATCTGTTGACACAATTGTGGCAACAAGACAACATTTATCTCATATGAAAACACATACACAAGTTGCACCATGACTGTCAGCACACGCACCATCTCCTGAGTCCTACCCAACCACCACGGAGCTTCAGATGTAGTGCTGTCATCAACGTCGCCGTCAGCCGTCAGTGGATTCCGCGCGGTCGTCTCATTCGGCGGCGTCAGAGTCGCGAAGAGAGGTTTATAGAGCGACCACACCTCGGCCGCCGTGAGCGTGCCTGTCAGCGCGGAGGTAGTCTGTACAAAAGTACTGAGCACTTCATGCGGCACGAGGCTGCTTGTGCACACAAACATCAAAGTCTCTTGGTAGCACTTCAGTGCCTCCGCACGCACAGCAGGGTGGCGCTTCGACACACGAACAGCGGCTACCAGCACATCAGCAAGGCAAGCAAAGAGCCATTGCGGGCTCTCCCTGGCAGCGACACTGTCGCCACGTGCAAGTTCCACGTAGTCGCTCAGCCTTAGACGAACTATGCGTATGAACATGCGCACTGACGGCTCCACTCCAAGCAGTTTCCCAAGCGCCTTCCACATCCGCATTCGGCACTGAGAAAACGTCTTTTGTTCGTGGCATAATTGCATCACATCCCACATCCACCCTTTCCGCAGCTTCGTCTCTGCTGCGCTGTCCAGATGATCCGACACTTCAATAGACAAGTTTTGCTCTTCAATAATGCCAGAGAGATGACTAATTAGCGTAATCAGCTCCTGTCGACTGTATGTGTTATTTTTTGCTTGCTGTCGTGCATTGACTTCAGCAGCTTCTGTGTACACCTTGCGCAACACCACAAGTTCGGCGGGTACTGTCACTGCCTCCCCATCGTTGAACATGTCCATTGACACGTACTCTGCGTCGATGCGCAATGCCTTTGGTATAAAGACAAGGCCCATGTCACGAAGCCCGTAAAAAGTAGGACACTCACGCCTCAGAACTTCATACCGGTGGCGAAAGAAGGCGACATTTCCTTCATCTTCCAACGCCCCGCGCCGCATCACTACATACGCCTTGGCGTGAGGCTCCTTCAGCGACAACAGAACCGTTTGAAGAATATGAAACGAGGTAACTCGCAGTTTTTCATGACTGTTGACGGAGAGCCGAAATAGCAAGGAGACACTGTGAGGCGAAAGCAGTGCCAGTCTCGAGGGCCGGTAGAGAGCAACAACCATCATGAGGCAGCTCAGAGCACGGATAGGTGCGGCGTTCGCAAATCTCACTGTCAACGCAAGGAGCTCATCACACAAACGAACTGCGCGTGCATTCTCCATCGGCGACAGGCCACTCAGGCTGGCTGTCTTCTGAGCATTGATGCAATTCCCCACCCGCTTTAAGCTCAGATGTTCGGGAAACTGTAGCATCATCTCGTATGTATGCAAGATTAGATCACTGTCATACAAAAAATGTGGACTTTTGAATCCCATTGCAGCGAGGGAAAGTGCGCTAGACAGCGTGCTCTTAACCTGCGACGAGCGTTGAACAGCACCTTCTCTCCCCGAAGGGAAACTCCGTTGATCCTTCGTAGCATCCGTGTTATTGCTGTTGCCGTTGATGTGGCTGTGATTCGTAGGGCTGACGACCGTTTCCATGTCATCGACACCTTCGCTGGATGAGCCGTCCCCGGCGTCATCGTCATCAATTGTCGCAACAGTATCTGCAGTACCAATTTCCTGGTGATGCGTTTGTGTGCCGTTGGTGTCGATTTCTTCCGTCCAGAGTGCTGCAATCCGCTCAAGCCACAAGAGGTGCTGCTCTAGGAAGTCACGAACCGCCTTTCGGCCCAGAAGCGGCATACATTCGATCAAAAGATGACGACAGTCCGCCTGCGTCAAACGATACGGCGAAAAAAGGAGTATGTGGGCAACCGAGAGCACCTCGGTAAGACACTTGGGCGGCACAGCATGCAGAAGGAGCGACCGACGGGCACAGGTAAAGGACTCTGCCTTCATGCGCCAGTACATGGTGGGAAAGTAGCGTCGTCCCGTCAACGTTTCCACGACACTCCGTTCAAAAATATCCGGATCTTGATTAATCATACGATAATGGTCGTATTTGAGCGGGGCGCCAATGTCAATGTTGCATTGCTCGGCGAGGATGGAAAGCACACAGCGAAGGCTGCGCGCGTCAACCTCAGTCGAGTGCGAATCGTCAAGCGGAGGTTTCCCTTTCATCACAAGGCTGCGGTCTAGCTGCAGTGCAGCCGCAATGACGCTGCCATCTACCATACCTCCCGCAACACGTCGTAGTGTGTGTTCAAGCAGCAGGTCATGGACCGCCTCCTGCGACCACGGCAGTGAAGAGGAGGCCGTTGATGACGATAACAATGATGGCGGCAACGGCAGAAGCCACGGCGCCTTGGGGTTCTGCATCCACCACGGCATCATGTTAGGAGCCTCCACCACGCATTGCTGGGTGCGAAGCTCCCGGTTGATGTCGAGCACGATGCGCAGCCACAGCAGAACACCGCGCAGGACATTTTGCGGAGTAAACGGATCGCAGTTCTCATCCAAACGAACTGTCGTCTCCTCCCCACTTTCATAATTAACGTTATTGTCGGTGTTATTATTATATTTTTCCTTACTTTTGCTCCTACTAGTGCTGTCGCCTTTGCTGACAAAGAGGAGTTGTCGAAGCCCACCGCTGCCTTCACCCAGAGCAGGCGGCACCACGTGCTCAATGCCGTGAATGATGTCCACAATGTCAAATACAAAACGCCGGTACATCTCCGACACGTACGTGACGTGCTCCTGCGACGCTTCCCGCCACACCAACTGCACCGTGCTGCTTCGGCAAAAGCCTATGCTCACCTCATACGCGTCCTGTGTGCTGTTGTACTCCAAAGTATCCGAGACATTCGAGGCGGACTCAGCAGTCTTTGGTGCGGGCGACTGCACCGCACGTGCATCCGTGCACACCACCTCCGTGAAAGCGGCGTACACTGCAGAATAGAGTGTTGCCGCGGCAAGAACGCGCTGTTGTTTCGTAATTTGCGAAACCAAACACTGAATACACCGCAGCAACTCGTGCCGCTGTGCAAAAGCTGCTAGGCCGGCGCCACGCACACACCCAGCGAGCAGATGAGCACACCACTGCACCTCTCCGTCCGGGGTGGAGGCACTCTGCAGTGGCTGCATCAACGACTGGGCAGCCCAGCGCAGGACACGCTCTGGGGCACGGCGGGCGAGCGGCTGCAGCAAGCAACTCACCGCGCACGCCTTCGACAGCGTATCCTGCGCCTCTGTCTCCTTCAGTGCCCTAGTTATACAGCAGGTAAACGTCTCATCGCTTACGTTAAGAGAAATGGCACGCATGACATGCACCAACAATTCTATATTATTGCCCTCAGTAAATACCACATGGCTGCAGCAGTCGAAGATGCGCTCAACGAGCGTCACGGCGAAGACGCATTCTTCATCCTGACCTCCCAGCAGGTTGCGCAGATTTGCGACGGAACAGGCGGTGAAAATGAGGTCCAACACCCGAGAAGAAATCTCCAACTCACTTGGGTTCACCCACGGTAGAAGCAGCGGTAGTACATCGGCAATAAAAGACCAGCACTCCTCACGGGTATCACTGCACTCGCTGAGTGGGTACAGCGACTTGGTCAGCAGCCGCAGCGCCACAATGCGCTGCCCCGGCGACTCTGCGCGGCTCCGCAGACCGGCATTCACGTACGACAAAATAAGCGGCTGCAGGGTTGTAGGTGAAAGTGATGCGAGAAGGCCAATGACGCGTGGGGCGTCATGCAGACGGTGGTGCAAAGAAGAAAGCAGCACAGGAGCCACGAGTTTAACGAAGCATTCCATCGCCTCACGGTCCCACAAATACTCTTCTGGAATCAATCGCCCCTCGAGCTTTGAGGGCTGAGTTGCGAGTGTGTACTCATACCTTGCCTGGAACCTCCTCCGCCGGTGCACGACCGCCACGAGACTGCCGTAAAATACAAAGACGCGATTAAGCACAGCAAAATCCGTGGCGTTGGGGCGCAGGTACACACTCGTCGCGAGGATAAAGCGGCGCAGGTGATTCCACAACGGTGAGTCCGTGCGGCGCGGGAGCATGTTGCCGACAAACCCCTCCGCAGACGCCATCTCATGTCTGTCAATGTGGAAGAGGGAGATCTTGCCAAGCATGTCAAAGCCTAGACGCCGGTGTGGCACCGCTGTATCGCGGACGATGGGCAGCCGCAACTCGAGAAGCATCATCGAGAAGAGCGGCTCCGCGTACTTGTCAAAGTCCATCACGCCCACGTGGTGGAGGAACATATTGAAGACAATCTTGAGCGAGTACGCCATCCAGTTCCCTGACTGCTGCTGCCAGTAGAGTGAATCCGCGAGGAAGAACTTTACAATGCGCTCTGTCAGCTGCAGCGGCGCGCCCGTGTCGTCGTCGACAAGACGGTGTACAGGGATGAGGTGCGACAGCAGGCACAACATCAGCGGCGCCTCTTCTCGCTCCGGTGAAAAGTACGGCGCAAACGTCTCCCACAGCCCCGCCAGAGCATCCGCGCCGAAGTGCAGCGCGGCGTATTCGCACACACGCTCCAGCCGCCGCCCGACGGCCATGCGCACACCATTGAAGGCGTGCATCTCCATTACGCGTCCAGATTGAAAAAAGAGCGACATCAGGAGCTCAACAAGTGGACGCCACGGGAGAGTAAAGTCAGGCCGCACTTGGAGGCGCCGCCGACGCGACTGCACCACGCGGCTGAAACACTCCGCAACACTTTCCCAGCACTTGGTGTTGCGCAGAACAAAGTCCCAGTCTACCAGCCATGCGTACAACAGCGGCACCACGCGACGCTGCACATCATAGGGTACATGGTACGCCTCCACTCGTTCAGTGAAAGTTGAAAGAAAAAAGACACAGCGCCGCTCCAGCTCTTCATCAGCCTCATGAAGGGTTGCGTACACAGTGGCGGGGGCGGTGTGCGCGGGTTCAAGTGGAGTAACGACGTCCGTCTCCCCACCATTCCCAAGCCCAGCCGGCGATGTCAAGCACTGCTCTTGCTGTGGTGGCTGCGTCGATTGCAGGTTTGGCTCCTCCTGCTGCAAAGAAACGCGCTGCCTCACTTCGTCTGGTGTTCCTAATTCCAGAAGCAACTGAGTACCGCGCAAAATTGCCGCGCGGTCTCGCACCTCGACGGCTTCACGCAGGCGAGGATGAATGCACTGAAGTGAATACGGCAGCAGTGTATCTTCATAGAATGTCCTCTCTACTGTGGCTGATGCCTCACTAATTGCTGCAGTTGTTTCACACTGAAGTGGTGGTGGCAGCGGCGACGTCAACGTCGACCCCGCATTCCCTTCTTTCGGCGGCGCCTCTCCACCCATCGGATTGACAACTACAAAACTAGAGTACTGTAATTTAAGTTATATTATCCCTTCCTTCTAGCTTTGAATCCTCTCTGCCTCTCTCTTTCCGTTCTTTTATTCCCCACACCCTTTCCCTTCCTTGCTTAATATTCTCGCAGGCTCTGCGGACTGTTTGTTTCGGTTTAGAAAACTTTTGGTAACACCCCGTTCCCCGGTCCTTTCCTTTCTCTCTTTTTGTGTTGGTTTGTCTTGTTCTCGTTCTGCCGTTCTTCTCCTTTGCCTTTTTTACCAGATACCCTCTCTATCCGTGCTGCTGTGCTTTAAAACGTATCCGCGTATCCGCTTAAGAGTCCAGCAGTTTTGAGACTGCGGCTGTCAGAAATCCAGCACGCCCTGCTCTCCTCCTGTCACCCTCCCCTCTCACTTGTGCTACCTCACTTACTTACAAACACACACACACACACACACACACA